AAAATACCAGGAAAACTGATCTCTGATCAATATTCACAGGAAATCTGCTCAAAATTCATCCAATTTTTTTATTTCACACAAACCTCCTGCAGTTATTGTGTTCACTATTTGTGCTGACTGTCAGGGGTCGTCAGTTTACTCACTGATAGAAAAGGGGTCCTTTAATGCAGACCATAACTTCTTGCTCTGGTATATAGAGGAACATGTGCTACTCCTCCATCCACACATCCTGTGAGTGTCACCAGGGGGAGGTATAATCTCAAACATCAGACAGCTCTCTGAGTCAGCCTGACTGACACATACAGGTTCATGAAACAGCAGCCAAGTGGACCCTTAATGGAAATGCTTCCATTAGGTTATAAAGAGCCTATGTGATAACAGGATGACTATTATGTCTAAATTGAGCCTCCATCACTGAAAAGAGAGTCCCAAAAGACAAGCTAACTATAGGATGACTGTGGTATGTGGGAGTAAAACAGAGCTGCTGCCTGCTGTGAATGACTTAATACACACGAGTGTACAAACTGTTACAATAATAATACTAATACTGATACAGCCTCTGTAATACTGCTACCAACACTGTCCCTATAACACTGACACTCACTCTGAGAGGGACATAAATAAAAAATAAATAAATTATTAAACTGATAAATGAACCAGACAAAGAGTCTAAATGCTTACACTAGCATGGAGATGTGTTCATAATGACAATCCTAATATGCTAAAATGTTCACCACACTCTTACCTCCATCTTAGTCTAACGTGTTAACATGCTAAAGTTTGCCAATTAGCACTGAACCTAAATTACCGCTCAGGCTGATGGGAATGTTGTTTTATTTGGACATAAATCAAAGTATCAACAAAGTCAGATTTATCCAAATGGGACACTGAATGTCTGTCCAAAATGTTACGGCAATCCATCCAGTAGTTGTTAAAACTTGGAACTTGTGTTTCCAGGACTAATTCAAAACATTAGACCTTAAACAGTTTTCATACACGATATATTTTTGTATTTGGATTTCCAATGAAATATATGAGCTGTGGGCATTAGAAACATGCTCAATGTGTTGGATGAACTGCTAGAGGTGGGAAAATATGTTTTCCTGTAGGTCATCCAGCCTTAAACATTACAACTCACTTATAGTCTGAAGCCCTAGTACTAACATTAATACATCACTATTAGTGATGAAGGTAATACAATACACCTAATTATCCTACCAACTCGTATTACTAATACCTGTAGGAGTAATATAGTGGTAATGCTGATTCTAAGAGGATATAAACCCTAATTTCAGAGTAATATTAATACTATAATACAAAGATCAGTATTTGTGTTTGTAAATGCTTTTTGAAATCCCAATATTTTACTAACCATGTGTGACTGAAATGTTGCTGGACAGAATATTTGACTGAGAAAGATGATTCTGAAACATTAGCCTGTACATCTGCCTGCATGGAGCAGGAGCACTGCCATGCTCTCAGTAACTGTACTGGACAACAGAAGTAATGGACAACACGGACAAATCATATTAGAGTCATTTACTGCATGTTTGTAGGACCTGAGGAGAAACAACCTAGTGTTTATGGACAGAGTGCAGGAGGAGGAGGAGGAGGAGGAGGAGGGGTATTCCAGGTGATTTAGTCTTATACTTCCATAAAATTTGGGGGACACAGATTTAAAAGTATAGTTTGGGAAAATATGTTTATACTCACTGTATGATACATTTGAAGCTATAGTCAGCAGCCAGTTAGCTTAGCTTAGCATAAAGACTGGAATCTGATGGAAACAGCTAGCATGGTTCTGTCCAAACATAACGTAATCCAGCACCTCCAAAGATCACTCGTTAACATATTGGTTTAATCTGTAAAGGGGTTTCAGTGGGGATTACGTTCGACACTAGAGCCGAGAGCTGCGACTTCCTTCCTAAATTGCAGTGAAGTTGCCAGGCAACCAGCAGAGAGGAAATAAAAATAGTCCTGCACAAGACCTAAAATCACAACTTATTGTCCCTGTGACAAATAAACTGACCTTTTTGCTGTATGTAAAACTTGGTCAAGTTCCCCTTTAACAAGCTGTGGATGACAAGAGATCCTGTACTGGAAGCAACAAGTTACAACACAGGTCAGGGTTCAATGCAGTCAGAGGACACAAAAGTGTTGAAATAAAAGGAACACATTAGGGAACAACCCAACAAAATGACATCACACGTTACTCACAAACAGCTTGCACAGCTGTTTGCCCGTGAGACTCTCATGGTTCGGAGAGAGACGAGGTTAAAAATCAAGGCCCGAGCCAAGCAGAAGCTGTATCTGTGGGAGGAAGAGGATACATGAGCCTCAGCACTGAAAGGGAACGTCAGGGTCTTTCCAACCACTCAACATATTTGTGTGTCTATTTTAATTACTCACATGTTTCCAGTTAAGTATTGTGTTGTCATTCAAGTGTGCTTGTTGTTGCACACTTGACTCTTGGCCGCCCCGAGAACAACACATCTGCTTACGGAGTGGAAACACGATGCTGTGTTTGAGTTCTTTCTATAGCCTCTTTCATTTGAGATTGTATCAAGCTATTGTAGTGCTGATGACTTACACTCTTTGTTCTTTTTGTGGGTCAGAGTGGGAAGGCCAAGAATTTATTTAGTTGCTTAAGGAGAGTAGGAAGGCCACTCCCCTCAGGGCTTTTTGTCGTATACAACAGTAGAAAGAGCTTCCCGGGAGATAGTGTAAGACAGACAAGAGCGGAGCAGATGAGCAGTGAATCTTGCCAAATTTTAGTTTTAGGAGGCCAAGGAAGGCCACTGAGAGAAAAAGTGAGGGTGTAAAGCATGGAACTCAATTCTTAAAAATTGGGTCAAATGGAAGAAAGAAAGCAGGATTATACTTCACGCTGTGTGCCACTTTGCTTTCTGATTTTTCTTTAGACATAAACTTAAACCCAAGGTACACAGGAAAATTAAGTATAGCCTGAGCTTCGATCATAAGATACACATTTGAGAAGTTACAGATATATATGTTTATGATAAGCATTCAATAAAATCTGAGCCAAGTAAAAAATCTTCTATATAAGCTTTAAAGTAACATTTAGTGGCATCTAGTG